AGTCTTTACAAATTTGTACAATACACAATATTGTTGTCTCAACAGAGTATGGGCCCCTTGACTTACATCTTTTCAGTCTTTTAATCTAATAAATGTTTTATACTTTATGTGTGTTTATATTTTACATGTTTTACATACCCACAAAACTATACATATATTTAAATCTAGCTTCTTTAACTGACTCTCAAATTACCAAATAATTACTATCTTAATTTAGCTGTACAAGATTCCCTGGTTACAAAGACAACATCTTGACGAATGGAATCAAACACTCTAGTCAACGCATCAAGGTTACTTCTGGTGAAAAATTAACCTTATAGCCTGGTTACTATCTGGCAAATTTATTAAAATCAAAAGAATCTTCTTAACAAAAGAGGCTACAGATCTAGAAAGGAGGAAATGAACATCTGAGTGCCTACTGTGTGCCAAACTGTGCTAGGCACTTTTATATACTCTCCTCTCGTGTGATGTTCCAAAAAAACACAGATCGTATTAGCCCATTTTCCAAATGAAGGAACTAAGACACGGTGGTTTCAAGGAACTGGTCTAAGGTTACCCAGGTAATACAGCAAGTTTCAACTACAACACACCACCACAGCACTTCTCACCACAGGCTGTGACCACATCTGTCTACAAGTAATGGCTTGAAAAAACCTGACCATACCACCCACCATCAATACCACAGGCCTCATTGCCTTCAGGAAATCCCAGTGTTAACAATTACACAAGGTACATTAAGACATGGGTCCACAAGACACTAATTCTGAGCCAAAGTATGGGAATTGTGTTGCCCCTTACATTCACACACGCTGCCAGACATCCCAGGACTTCCGGGAAGCACTGTTTCTGGGAATTCTAGTAGTAATTTTCAAACAACACAGCATGGGTAGGGCCAAGATGTCCCAGGGTACAAAGAGAGCTAGAAACCAAAAAACCATTATATGATGGGCTCAAATGAAGAGAAGAGATGGCGATGCAAAGAACATTAACACCTAACCCAACTTCCAGGACTCGGCTCAGAATAGGGGAACAGACTGACTGCTTTCCTTTCCTTTCCTGCCACAAACTGTGTTACGAACCTCAAAGCTGTTTGTTCAAAGCCCTGGTAAAGCCTGGACCCCTTCAACAAAGTTTACTTTGAATTAAACACAGGGCTGACCAAAATACTCTCCAAGGAGGAAGGGAATTTAACAGGTGTCTACAATAAAGGATTTTCTACGTTTTTGAAATTTCAACTTTTGTGAAGACATAAGAGTTGATGAAAACGTGAGCCTTCCACTGCCTTCAAACCTCCTTGACATCTGTAACCAGAGTGTGTCTTCAAAAGCTCTGCTCCAAGGTTCCGATAAGGTCTCCTGAAGTCGCAACCAAAGTTTGTCTTCCCAATTAAACTGGCTATTATACAGGCCAAGTTATAAAGAGAGACAACATTTAATTGGAAAGCAAATCACCTAACAGTAAGTGGCAGACACATTTCCCAATTAAAAATCTGACAAGAACTCACAGAAATAAAATATCTCCAAAATGCCATCTTATTTCCCATCTAGAGAGGCTGCCTCCTCTGACTTCCCACCAAACAAAAGGTTGGCAAGGGAAATCAACAGAAAAGTAGAAAAATTGTATGTGTATATGCTTGTGTGTGTGTGTGCACGTGTATGTGTATGTATAAAACATCCAAATCTTACATCAGCAGGTCAATAGAAAAGTAGGTGTGTGTGTGTAAAACTGTCCAAATCGTACCTCACACATCAGCAGGTAATCAGGATTCTGTACCCCCAGTTAGTTCAATTTTAAAGGGCTAGTGGTAAGACTTAAAACCAAAAGCTGCAGTTGGCCGTGGCCTCCAACAAACTGAATTCCAAGCACTATCTGTCCCCTCACCAAAGTCCCACCTCACAGGCCTGAGGTCCTCTTCTGTAAAGCCCTGGAAGTCTGCCCTTTGAAACATCTGACTGCCCTGAAATATTTTTACCTGATAATTTTTAAATAATTAAGCATTTTTATTTGAGTCTCAAGGCACTTAAAAATTATCATATAATACTTACATTACAATTACACTATACTTCATCTTTATTTTCGGCTTTTAAATGCTTTAAAGTTTAAATACTTTGTACTAGCAAAATACTTTATACTAGCAAAATAGAGTCATTATTTAACTATTTAGTACAAGAGCTGGAAATAGCGATGAGATTTGGATATTCCCCACGTCTACACCCACTCTGTCCTTAAGTCAAACCCTTATCCACCTGTAGTTTTTTGAATACAATATTAAAAATGACTGTAACAATAAAAGCTACCCCAACTATTAGGAAAAGCATTGAAAAAATACAAAACTTTATGATACATAATGTATCATAATGTAGTATAGAAATGACATTTTCACACATGTGAGCAAGAGAATTAAAGGAGCATTTTTAACATTCACTATTTAAAAAAGAAAAACTACTACTCAGTGATACAAAAAGATATTTTTTAAAAAGCTAAACTGATCGAACTTTTCAAAAGACAGTACACTAACAGGTAATTTATTTTGTGACAAAATAAGTCCATGGAAACATGAAAGGAGCTAGCAGGTACCCGGTATATGTTAGGAATGCTCAGACCTTATAAACACGAGCCTAACATGGGTTTTTCTTTTTTGTGGCTTGTTGCCAAAGCAACTAGGAAAGCTACAGTCTTTGGGAGAGAATTTGAAAAAAAAGTTAAAAGATAGGAGGAGATAAGCAAAGTTTTATATGAGGAATTAAGAATAATGAATACAATGTTGCAAGAAGGAAAACACAAAGGACAGAGATTGAACAGAAATACAAGAAGCAACTTCCAAGTCACAGCACAATTTACTAACAAGAAATATACATTCCTGGTTCTATTACCCACAGGACTCTCCCCCCATTCCCCATCCCAAACACCAGAGTAATACAACCATTGTCCTCTCATTCACTACCACTGTTTATAAAATTTAAACCACTGGGTATGTTCAAAAGCATATTAGGAAGGAAATAACAGGAAGTTATAGCTACCAACATCCTCACTCCAACACCAAAATCTCCCTGTGACTCAAAGAAATGTTGAAATACACCAACACCATTCGGTCTCAAGGTCATATGTAACAATGTATCCCAAGCCTTACTAAACTTGCCCAGGATACTAAGTATAGACCTTCCCTTACACCAGGCTTATAAAAAATATACAACAGAAGTGTTATTCAGTGATCTGAGGTGATCAAGGATAAAGTAGAAAAATGAGAGCTGGGTGCGGTGGTTCATGCCTGTAATCCCAGCACTTTGGGAGGCCAAGGCAGGCGGATCACAAGGTCAAGAGATCGAGACCATCCCGGCCAACATGATGAAACCCTGTCTCTACCAAAAATACAAAAATTAGCTGGGTGTGGTGGCACACACCTGTAATCCCTGCTATGCAGGAGGCCGAAGCAGGAGAATCACTTGAACCCGGGAGGCGGAGGTTGCAGTGAGCTGAGATCGCGCCACTGCACTCCAGCCTGGAGACAGAGCAAGACTCTATCTCAAAAAATAAAGAAAGAAAGAAAAGAAAAGCAATAATGCACAACAGAGATCAAAGTAAAAAATGCCTAGGCCTAATAAAGTGCAGGGCATATATTAATAAACTGGCATAAGAGATGGATGACCACAAAATCTTTGCCATCAAGCAGTACGGGGTTCCTCCTGGAGAACATGAAGGAATGGTCAACCAAAGGCAATGTATGTTCTGAATTAGCATTAGTAAAAAATGCTTTAGGTTGGCTTTCATGCTGTTTTCAAAAATATGACATTTAGAGTAAATTCAACTGGCACTGAAGAAAGCACAAATAGCATAAAAGAAATGGGAAGAGCTTGGAGAATCAAAAGTAAACAGACGAGATGGCACATTTCACTTTCATTAGAAAAGGCTACTCCTCCTGGATTTCCATAACATTTCATGTCTCTCTCGTAGTCTTACGTCATCATTTTTACTGACATGTTTTATCCCCCAGGTAAACTATACTCTCCTCAAGGGTAACACTGTGGCTGCTTCATTTTTGCAAAACTCAGGGCATTTATTCATTCAGTCAACAAATGCTATTAAATATAACATGTGCCAGACACCATACTACAAACTGGCACTAAATACCTATTGTTTAAATGAATGTTGACTATAAGGTAGAAAAAACAAACAAGTTCAAAAAAGGATCCAAATGTCCAGGAATTCTAATTCCACAGGAAATTCAGATGGGAAACAACAAACATTCTAATTGGAATTTTAGTATCATGAGATACATCTACACTACCTGTATATTGTCGTGGCGAGAATGTGGGCCTATCGATTCACAATAGAACAGCACTTCCTCTGTATGGCCTACCAAGTATATTAAGCATTTCCACGCAGAGATTTTTTCTCTTAAGCCCAAAAGAAAATTAACAGTAATGATTTAACAGGCTATAATCTTAAAGCCCCCTAAATAAGACCCATAAGATGTGTCTTTGTCAGTGAGTGGTAATCTGTTTTAATGGTTTGATATATTCATTCATTGAAGTGCTTAGTACCTATCAGATAATGTTGGGCCCTGGGTTTTGAAAAGATGATCAACACATTCCAGGAGGCTTGCAAGAATTCAAACAAAAGTTTAGCATTGGTGGGGAAAAATAGGAGTGTTTACGAAAAACAAATGAGTTGAAATTCAAATGCCAACAACGTAAAAAACGTGCCATAATAAATTTTATTTAGATTGGTTTTAGTCAGTACCTGTATCATCTCCAAGGTTCTTGAAAGGGTTTCCCCATCCTCAATATATTTCACTTTTTTAAAAAAAGCTCGTAAAAGGTCCACCACTCCCAGTCCACCCACACCCTAATCTTCTGGGAGGTGCAGAGCGGGAGTGCATGGAAGATAATCTGAAATTGGTTTGGTTTTGTTTTTTTAAGGAATGGACCAGAATGGGAAGGCAGGAAAAGGCAGAGCAAAAATCGAAAACCAATGTGTGCCTTCAAACCCCGTCCTCCTACCAGCTCACTGCAGATTCTTGTATTTGTGGCTGTGGCCACGCACAGGTGGTTGAAAGTATCCAGAGTGTGAAAACACAATCTGCAACTCATCACAGGAGTCTCCGGACTCCAAGGCCTTACATCCCAAAGTCCAGGAAACAAGACGCCTTTCTCAGTGAGTGCTGCTACAGGCAAACAATAAATAGGCATTTTAGGAATCAATAAACACACCTTCATTTGGTCTTCTCTACCAAACCCAAATAGCGTGCTTTGGGGCCCCGAGGCTGTAATAGAAGGTGCTGCCCCTAAAGAAAAGACTGAGGCGGGGCTCCTCTCTCTATAGCTAACCCCAGAAAAAAAAGTGGGGGGAGAATTGCTGGGGCCCTGGGGAGGGGTTAGGGCCCTGGGGAGGGGCTGCGGGAGGCAAGGAGGAAAGGGAAGGGAGAGCAGGGTGGGACCCAGCTAACCCTTCTCCCTTCCAAAGCGGAGGTTAAGCCACTGCCCCCAGTCCCCAGACCCTGCCTCCTGCCTCCCTCACCTGATCACAGAGATGAGCAGCCCCGAGGGGTCTTTGCTTTTGCTGACTGTGCTTCTGTATTTCCCACCAGCTGCTTCTGCCGCCATCTTGGACGCGGGGAGAGCCGCTAGGCTCCAAGGAAGCCAAGAGTGCGTAAATTCTGCATTTGACCTAGCTGGAGTCTCCACCAATGGGTGAGGAGAATTCCAGAGGCGCGGAAGTGGAAAATCCAATCACTGAAGTGAGGAGGCGGGACTAACGGAACAGGTTTTGAGGCAACGACGCGTGTGTTCGCTCTAAGCACTCTGGGAGTCGTAGTTTTCCTTCTCCGTCTCCTGGGCGCGCAGGAAAGCTAAACCAGCTGCAACTTCGTGAGTCTTGTAATGAGTGTCTTCATTTATCTTTATTCTGACTTCGAGCTTTTTTCGGCTTCCTTGCTTTTAGAATTTTGTCAGGCTTTAAATCAAATTTATCCGATGATGCCAAAATTTGTTAGGGTGTGCATTTAAATGAAAGAGGGGTTCTCTGCTGGATGCCTATGTGCGAAGTTTTTGCCTTAAGCGCAAGTGTTTTTTTTTAAAATCCAATAAAATACGAAAATGAATACAAGCAGAAATGCTTTTCTTTAGTGTTCTGTAAAACTAATGTTTCTACATTAGGTTTATGTGTGAGTTCAATTTTCCCCAGTGTTCTTATATTTCCAGATAGCCCTAAAAACACATGCACAGGAATAAACAAATGAATATTGATGAAGAAAAGACAGTATAAGCGAAAAACAAACAGACCACACTGCAGATTCCTGTTTTTCAAGCTAAATGAAATAGTTAGTAGTAATGCACATTTGTGTTAATACTTTTACCAGTAAGCTATTAGTATTTCCTGCAGTTGGTTCCGTTGGCTTAGTCGTTAATTCATAAGACCACGTGAACAAAAGAAGACCAGAATGTGTGTGGAAAGTGGTTAGACTGAGGAACAAGAATAATAAAAATTAAAAGTAAGGAAGGAGGCGGCTTGCTCAGTAACAATAAAGATTGAAGAACTTAAATGAATAGAAAGCAAACTAACTCAGAGGTCCTGGAGTTGTGGAGCAGCAAACTCAGAATGCATCAACTACTTTTATAAATAGACATCGAGCTGGTAGAAGTTCACATTTTTAAAAATTAGTTGAAGATAACACACACACATATATGACATGATAACTTAAAAGTATTCATAACCTTTGGCCCAATAATTCCAGTTCTAGGGACTTTGTTCCTAAAGAAATAAAGATAGGGTACTGACATTTTTGAAATAACACAGAAGTATTAAATAAATTATGTAAGATTCAAATGAGTAAATAACATATAGCTTCTGGGAATCTTAATTTTAATGGCTCTTAAAGAAAATAAGATTTTTGGGACAAGTGCGATGGCTCACACCTGTAATCCCAACACTTTGAGAGGCCGAACCAGGCAGACCACTTGAGGCCAGGAATTTAAGACAAGCCTGGCCAACATGGTGATACTCTGTCTCTACTAAAATACAAAAGTTAGTCGGACCATGGTGGTGCATGCCTGTAATCCCAGCTGCTTGGGAGGCTGAGGCAGGAGAATTGCTTGAACCTGGAAGGTGGAGGTTGCAGTCAGCCAAGATCGTTCCAGTGCATACTGCACTGCAGCCTGGGCAACAGAGGGAAACTCTGTCTCAAAAAAAAAAAAAAAAGATTTTTATGGTATAAGTACAAAAACTGGACTATAAAATTAAATAATTCATAGAGAAAGGGAGAGGCAGTTGGGCCTACTGGTTAAGAATGCAGGACATAGGATAGAAAGTGTGATCATCTCAACTGATGCAGAAAAAAGCTTTGTCAAAATCCAAAACACTCTCACAATAAAAACACTCAGAAAACTAGGGATAAAAGGAAACTTCTTATAGACTATAAAGGGTACTTATGAACAACCCACAGCAATCATCATAGTCAATGAAAAACTGAAAGCCTTCCCACTAATATTAGACACAAAAAAAAGATAACCATTTTTTGCCACTTCTATTCAACAAGTTTTAGCCAGAGCAATGAGGCAAGAACATGAGTAAGTCATCCAGATTGGAAAGGAAGAAATAAAACAATATCTACTTTTGGATGATATGATCTTATATATAGAATATCCTAGATAATACACACAAAAAAACTATTAGAGCTAATAAAATACTCAACAAAGTTGCAGAATGCAAATTCAACAGCAACAGAAAATCAGTGGTATTTCTGTAAACTGGCAATAAACAATCCAAAAAGGAAATTTACACAACAATTCCATTTCCAATAGCAGCAAAAAGAATAAAATGCCTACGAATAAACTTAGCCATGGAAGTGAAAGACTACTACACTGAAAGCTACAAAACATTGCTGCAAGAAATAAAAGAAGACTCAAATAAACGGAAAGACATCCCTGTTCATGGGTTGAAAAACTTAATATTGTTGAGATGGCCAAACTCCCCAAAGCTATCTACAAATTCAATGTAATTCCAGTCAAAATTCACTAGGCTTTTTGTGCAGAAATAGAAAAACTGATCCTGAAATTCATATGGAAATTAAAAGAGCCCCAAATAGCCAAAGCAATCTTGGGGAAAAAAAAAAAAATCAATGTGGAGGTCTCACACTTCCTGATTTCAAAACTTACTAAAAATCCACAGTAATCAAAATAGTATGGTACTTGCCTAAAAATAAACACATAGATAAATAGAATAAGCCATACAGAAATAAGCCTATTCATCCATGATCAATTGATTTTTTTTTTTTTTCTTTTTTTTTTTTTAGACAGAGTCTCTTTCTGTCACCCAGGCTGGAGCGCAGTGGCTCAATCTCAGCTCACTGTAACCTCTGCCTCCCAGGTTTTCAAGCAGTTCTCGTGCCTCAGCCTTCCAAGTAGCTGAGATTACAGGCGCCCACCACCACACCCAGCTAATTTTTGTATTTTTAGTAGACACGGGGTTTTGCCACGTTGACCAGTCTGTTCTTGAACTCCTGACCTCAGGTGATCTGCCCACCTCGGCCTCCCAAAGTGCTGGGATTACAGGTGTGAGCCACCACACCCGACCGGTCAATTGATTTTCAACAAGGGTGACAGTACCATTCAATAAGGAAAAAATACTCTCCTCAACAGATGGTGTTGAAAACTGGATAAGCATAAGCAAAAAATTGAGGATGGACCCTACCTCATACAATATGCAAAAATTAACTAAAAGTGGATCAAATACCTAAATATAAGAGATAAAACTCTTAGAACAAAATATAAGGGTAAATTTTCATGATTCTTAGCTACGACATCAAAAGCATAAGCAACAAAAGAAAAAATAGATATATTGGGCTTTATTAAAATTAAAAACCCTCGTACATCAAAGTACACTACAAGAAAGTGAAAATACAGGCACAGGATGGGAGACAATAAAAGCAAATCACATACAGTATCTGATAAGAGTCCTGTGTCTAGACAGTGTAAAGAACTCTTACAACTCAACACAAAAGGAAATAAAAATTAAAACCTGGGCAATGGATGTGAATAGACATTTCTCCAAAGAAGATGCACAAATGGCCAAAAAACACATAAAAAGATGCTCGACATCATTAGTCATTATAGGAAAATGCAAAACCATAATGAGATACCACTTCACACCCACTAGGTTGTTGATAATTTTTTTTAATGGAAAATAAATGTTGGCAAGTATGTGGAGAAACTGGAACCCTTGTACATTTCTTTTGGGAATGTGAAATGGTTCAGCCATTGCGGAAACCAATTTGGTGGTTCCTTAAAAAATTAAACACAAAGTTACCATATGACCCAGCAAGTCCACTCATAGGTATATACACAAGAGAATTGAAAACAAGTGTTCAGAAAATAACTTGTACACAAACATTCATAAAAACACCGTTCAAAATAGCCTAAAGGTGGAAGCAATCCAAATGTTTAACAATCGATGAACTGCAACAATATGACTGTATGAGTGTAGTATAAACAAAATGTGCTATATCCATACAATGTAATATTATTCACACATAAAAATGAAAAAAGTACTGATACATGCTGCAATATTGATAAATCTTGAAAACATGCTAACTGAGAAAAGCCAGACACAAAAGGCCATATTGTGTATAACCCCATTTATCTGAAATATCCAGAATAGGCAAATTCATACAGACAGAAAGCAGATCAGTGGTTGCCAAGGGCTGCAGGGCAGGAAGAAATGGGGAATGACTGCTTAATGGATACAGAGTTTCCTTTTGGAGTGATGAAATGTTCTGGAACTACAGTCGATGGTTGCATAACTTGTGAATGTATTAAAGGTCAGTGAATTATAAACTTTAAAGTAGTCAAAAGTCATAAATTTTATTATGTGTTTTTCACCAAACCTTTAAAAAAAAAAAAAAAAGAATGCAGTTTCTGTAGCAGGATGGCCTAGATTCAATCCCAGCTTTCCACTTCCTGGCTAGATTACCTAGGGCAAGTTCCTTAACTTTACTCTGCCTCAGTTTCCTTATCTGTAAAGTGGGTGATCACTGTATGTCACGTAGAGAATGTTAGTAAGAATATGTGAGTTATACATTATCAGCACTTGGTAAATATCAGCTATTATTACTAAAGTATGGTACTAATTTGGTTGAAAGTACATCTCTGGGGGTATCGCAAAGTTGTTTTGAGCGTCAATAACATGGGTAATTTTTTTTTTTTTTACACTTTTCTGTGTTTTACAAAGTTTCCGGGACAGGCACGGTGGCTTATGCCTGTAATCCCAGCACTTTGGGAGGCCGAGGCAAGCAGATCATCTGGGGTTAGAAGTTCAAGACCAGCCTGGCCAACATGGCGAAACCTCGTCTCTGCTAAAAACATAAAAACTAGCCAGGCATGTTGGCAAGCTCCTGTAATCCTAGCTGCTCTGGGGGCTGAGGCAGGAGAACTGCTTAAACCAGGGAGGCAGGGGTTGCAGTGAGCCAAGATTGTGCCACTGCACTCCAGCCTGGGTGACAGAGGGAGACTCCATCTCAAAAAAAAAAAAGTTTCCAGGTGTTGCTTTTTATAAACAGAAATACACAAAAGTACTTCCTTTAAAGGAGAATTGGATAAGTGTCAAAAACGATGGCCTACTTTCATCACAAAATGGAAA